AATGCAACACTAGTTGCGGCAGCAGATGCAACAACAAATGCAACACTAGTTGCGGCAGCAGATGCAACAACAAATGCAACACTAGTTGCGGCAGCAGATGCAACAACAAATGCAACACTAGTTGCGGCAGCAGATGCAACAACAAATGCAACACTAGTTGCGGCAGCAGATGCAACACTAGTTGCGGCAGCAGATGCAACACTAGTTGCGGCAGCAGATGCAACAACAGATGCAACACTAGTTGCGGCAGCAGATGCAACAACAGATGCAACACTAGTTGCGGCAGCAGATGCAACAACAAATGCAACACTAGATCCAGCAGCAGTTCAAAACTCTGCAGTGCGAGTCGTCTAAGTTTACGAGGCAATAAGCAGGCGCAGGTCTGCCAACACGAAAACCTCCTAAAGCTTCTATTTTTTATTAGCAATTTATTAAAGGCAAGCCACTTTATTGGGCACTAGAACGAGCCTAGCGGCAATGTTCACTGATCCTCGACCAGCAACACGTGCATCAGTCGTTGCAAGCACCACTTAAATCTGTTGCTTTCACACTTAATTTAGGAAGCGATTTTTGTGGCTCCTTACCATGCTAAAATTTGACTCACAGTATCTACAAATCCAAACTTCAATAACAAACTTCTCGCTTATTTACAAAATTTTCACTTAAATTTGCCCCCGTACATTTTGTGGACATGAACTTTCTTCAGCACTTTGATTACTAGCTTTCTTCACCAATATGAAAAAATATTATTTAGAAACGACAACAGTAGGCAAAAAAGCTGTCAAGTAAACATAATAGTACGAAGGTCTCATGATAATGTTGAGGGATATTTACTTCAGAATGGCACCGTCACTACAAATAAGTCAGGACTGCACACTCGGGTTTAAATAATAATATAATAAGACGCATGTCAGTTGAATAATATTGGTATTACTCCTTCAGTACAGCTTGCTAAAAATCCTTTTTGATGACCACATGCTACGAATAGAAGCAAAGTTTTTTGCAATACTATTTCTAAAATAGATGAGAGAGAGTTGACATGAGTGCTGGAGGACTATACCTCTTATCATTATCTCAAACGGTCAGGAAAGGATTTCAGTTGAGATAAATACTTAGTATTCACAATATTTTTAGTAAAACATGTCTACACAGTTGCGTTGTGCCCCTGTAGTCCTTACCAGCGCGCAACTAAAACATGAAAGAATAAAATTCTGAAAGTATAGAAAACCTAAATTGCGGAATTGTGAAGTTTAAATGAAAATGGAATAATTTTGCTATAAAATATGAATAAATTTATAATATTCCCTAACAATGGGTACGTACGGTGGCGACTCATTTGTTCTGAAGTGGGTCGAGCGGGTCAACTCTAGACTTATTAAGCCTTTATACCAGGTGCGCGTTTTAATGGCTCAATCACTACCCATTTTTCCATAGAATAACCCCACTTCCCCTTCATTACGATACGTTTCACACTAGACATTCAATCTACATTATCCGAATGATAATGTAGATTTCATTCAATCTACTCGTACATTCTCCGAATGATCTCATTATGGCCACTATAAAAGTCGCTCCAAAAACATCGCTCTCTTGAATTCCAAATTTGCTTCAGTGCTGTCTTACGACCATGAATTAGTGCACCAATTAAATGAGCCGTGAAATCGTGTTCTCCAAATCCCATCTTCTTCATTGTCGTAAAATCCCGGAAGAGGCGCTCGTAAAGCGGGATCGCTTATGAAGCTCGCAAGGTTCCGTCGTTACCTGCTCCAGGGAATCGTCTTGCCACAGTCTTGTAACTCGTTCCAGATAAATGTGATGTCTTCCCAATATAAGCATAGATAGTATAACCTGGTACAGTGCAGTAGGTTATAATCTAGTACTATATTAGTGTCGGCGTTCGAGAATTTTCCATGTTTAGCTTGTCGCCAATTTTAGTACTATTCTTGACTTTTCTCCGGAAGATCTGGCCTTTTGACCTGGGCCCATACTTTCAAAAAAAGTTAAGAGATCGTAAGTTCATCAGCCAATCATTGGCGGACTTTCAAGCAAAATCCACCAATAATAGGCATGCAAGAAAATAGAGCGTAAGTACTTACGTTCACTTAGCGAGTTTTGAAAGTATGGCCCCGGATCTTTACATAACTGACGTTTAAGATAAGAAGCTACTGAACTTTGTTCAAGTCTGTGAGATGGAGGCCGGTGAGTCGATGCTGTTCTTGTTACTCTCGTATTCCGGTGCCCATTCCATTATAATTTATAGTATTCCACAAACTCGGATATTGCGAGAGAATTATAATTAATCTTGAGCTACTTCGTGGCAAAAATTAGGAAGCTGAAATTGCACGCAGCCATTAAGCCAAGCTTTAGGTTTTTCACCCACTAGAAAGTCGAAACGATATGTAATGTCTGAAGTCTGCGAAATATCTTACAATCTACAGATCCCAGGATGTCAAAAAAAATTAAGTTAGATAATTGAAACTATATAAACTATTTAACGTGTTTTACACGTCGGGTCTTGAAAATGGTTTAAAAAACGACAACTTTGAAAAAATATCGAGTTACAACAAACAGCATGATGACGGTACAGTTTAAACAAAATAGAGATTTACATAGACGAGTACATCAATTCACAAGATATATCTTAGAGTTCGATTGCAGTTGTAGGGAATAAATATTAAAAAATATAACTCAGTACTCACTGCAATGAGCGACAGAGAGCGCATTTTCTCTAAATCGACGAAAACGTGAAGTCACGTATACAGACGGACGGACGGACGTACACGACGAGCACAATATAGGGAGGGCATTTTTTCCATAAATGAGAAAATGCGCTAAAAATGAGTTAAAAAGCGACTATAATGTCATTGGATGTTCCTCTTCACTCTATCATCAGTGCCGCACAATGCGATCCTCGACGTTCTCTCAGTTGACTCAGATCGTGACTGCTGCATGTGATATAAGATGATCCGGTATCTTAACATAACATAACATAGTGATATCGGCGCTGATGTGTAGGCCTGATGTGGCCTGTCGCCGATTCTTTTTCTTTTCGTGCCTTGTTCACAGAAGATCTAAACTCGTGTCATTTGACCGGATCTTTTCATGACTGGCGATAGTTTGAAGTAGCTACTAGACTTCCACCGGGTTCGATAAGGAGCTAGGCATTTCAAATCTGAACATATATTTTTCCATAGCTTTATATCTTATATACCATCATCTTATATACCATCGGACAAGCAAAAGGCTGCCGGTTTTCCGTGATCCGATCTTAATTCATGTGATAAGATTTCATAACTAAAAAAATAAAAATTAATAAACTTCAAATGGGGAAAGTCTTTTAATTATGTTTATATGAAAAAAAACTTAAAATATAACGTGTTGCCATTTATAGTATATTTGTTATAGTACGAATTGTAATATAAAAAACCTTAGTACGTTATTAGCTCTGAAAAAATGCACTAATGAATGTTAAGCTGGTTATAAACAGCGAAATAAAAATAGCGCGACCTCTCACTTTAGAACGTTTAATTACTCATATTCGGCAAATTGTTTCTGATTTTGGAGGCTTGATGCAGTTTGGGATCATCCAAAATTTATTCACCTCTCACCCGTTCCCCAGGTTTCCAAAATCGATATTTTCATGCTCTATAAGAACTTTTCATGCATTCATATGTTCGTCTATCGCCATCTAGCACTTAATCTAGGAGAGTAATTATCTGGGGCCGAGGAAATTTCCACAATCCATGAAATTATTATTTATTATTACATTATATTATTATTTCCAGAGTAACTGGAGCTTCAATGATCATTGAAGTTGACCAATTCAAGAAACTGGTTGATAGTGCGATTATTACAAGGTATTTAAAAAATTTTCACGACTTCAGAATTTACAAAATCGGCAATGCTTCCGAAGTTTCACGTTAAAGAAAGAATCTGAAATAGAACATCAAATTGCTACGTCATTCAGCGCCTACAGGCAAACCTTATAATCTCCCAGAAAATTTATCTTCCGAACAATGTTTCACGTGGATAAATGTTTTTTTTTTCATCGTGACAAACTCATACGTGTAATGTAGGTATATTGATACTATGAATGCGAGCATACAACTTTGATCTGCGCTCATCATCATCGTCGATGCTGGAAAAATAACGCAATATACCCACACTAAAAATAAAATAACAGTGTTATATATAATCATTATAGTATTTATTTATTTTACATCACACTTTACTCATCATTAAAATTGACGCTGGATCGCAGGCTGCCACTGGCTTAACGAATGCAAATCATTTCAAATTTTTTACTGGCAAATAATAATTAATAATTTAATAATAATAATAATTTAATAATAATAATAATAATTTCAAATAATTTCTGAGTACGAGTTCAGGCCAGGGTAATCCGTGCAATAAATTATGAATTAGCAAAATTAAATCCATTATCTCGAAATTTTTAGACTTTTCAGAAGGATTTTACGATGGGTTGATTTCCTTAGAAGTAATGCAAACCGCCATATTGTTTTATTAAACAGCCATATATGTGAGCATCCTATACTGGGGGTATACAGGATGCTTACAGTGTCTTCGCTCATTTAATTATATTCCTAGCTATATTCTAAGAAATTCCATTCATAGTGGAACTCATTATGAATCATTATAAAATTTGGAATTTAAATCATTAGGAATCATAGGAATCATTATCAATCTTTATTTAAATCAATCATATGGATCAAATCATTAGGAATCATAATAAAATATATCAGGAATTTAAAAGCAAAGAAAATCGCCAAAAAGTGCTTTTTATGCTTTTAAATTCCTGGTAAATTTGCGATTCAAGCAACCAAGTGATCTAAATACTTATATCCGATTGCTATCTATCATCGTAGAACTTTCAATTAATCATCATAAGCTTAGCAATAAATCATTGTTTAATCTGAAATAAATCACCGTAGAATTTGCAATCGATTATTGTAGAACTTGGTTTTGATCGTAAAAGTTACAATCTTCATAAAACTTGATGTCTTCATAAAACATGGTTGTAAAAACATGAAAACTTCATGGTTTTCATGGGAAAATTTCCATCTTCAAAAAACATGGTTGCGCCATGATCGCAACCATGCAGTGTGGCCCGGCCAGGCAGCCACGGTGCTGCAGCCACGGTGCAGCAGCCACGGTGCAGCAGCCGCGGTGCAGCAGCCACAGTGCAGCAGCCATGGTGCAGCAGGTGCAGCAGGTGCAGCAGGTGCTGCAGGTGCTGCTGGCAGGTCGTTTGTTAAGCCGATGGACCGACGGCAGCAGCGGTCTGAGGGGAGCCTTCACTTACACCGAGGGGAAACCTGACTAAACCAAGGGGAACTTTTACTCATGAACAAACTCATTCGGTTGTTCAATGGCCTTCATGGTAAATGCTACAATAATTTAAAATATGTAAAGTATGTTCGGCAAGAGATCGTTGTCTTCAACCACTGCAGTGATGTCCAGGTATCGTATGCTAATTTAATATATAGTGAAGACCTTCATCACGAGATTGTATCCTAATAAGTTCTCTTTTTAGCGCATTTTCTCATTTATGGAAAAAATGCACTATTGTGCTCGCCATGACCGTCGGTTTGTCTGTCTGTCCGTCCGTGACTCCACGTTTTCGTCGACGAGACAATGCGCTCTCTGTCACTCACTACAGTGAGTACTGAGTAATATTTTTGTTAATTCACTGATGTAGTACCTGATACTTTACTCCCATTGAACACTGGCAATCTTCTTCGACTAAAAACTTTCAACCGTTGGGACAGAACCTAAATCCATATCTGAGTGGCTTAACTATAGGCAATTCCGGACCTACTTAACAAGCCAGGCAATTAGCTACTGAACCTGTATGCAGAACAATGGGGCTCGCAAAAAGTTTTACTCTTGCACGTAAGTTCCCCGAAAAACAGTAAAAATATCTTCTTGAAGTTCATATTTAATGCAGGAATGTTTTCGGCATTCGTTGGTTACTAACTCTCCACTCGCCGCGAAGTTGTTTAATTAACTAAGAAGTTTTAATTAACAGATCTCGAGTGCAGGGGATGGTTCGACTGAAGGCAAACAAACTACAAACAAAAATGAATGCAACCTCCAGCTTCTAATGGAAACTGCTGAGGGAAACGCAGGAAATAATGACTGGTCAAAACCATTGTTCGAATTTCAGTTAAAAATGAAATCAGAACATAAATTTGGCACCTCAATTAATCTATAAATGTGCTTACCTCAATGCATGCTAATGTTGTAAAAACAAATTACCGCCTAAACAACGAAACGTAGCATATAATGACTGGCCGAAACCATTGTTTGAATTTCAATTAATAACAAAATCAGCACATAAATTTTGCACTTTAATTAATCTATAAATATGCTTGCATCAATGCATGTTAATGCTGTAGAAATAAATTACTGTCTAAATAACTCAACAAATACCCGGAGACGCTGCTAGCAATTGCCATGAAAAAATTTACAGGATTAACGTCTTATCCCGAAACAGTTATATTTATAAAGAAAAATTTTAGGATCTTTTCAGCTGACAAACGAAATTTTATTAGAAGACCAAATAGAGGCCGGATTTATTTCTCGGATCAGGTTTGTGATATATTGACAGAAATTTTTCTTGTCCTGACATCAACAATACAAAACTCTAAGTTTGAACTGAATTAGCAAGTAAGGCTTCATTTCAAGAAGCCACCCGAATCCTGAATTCAATACTGCGTATGGGTATGGTGCATTGCACCCACCATATACCCAGCACTCAAGTCACCAGCTGCGGATCAGCGTAAATTGCTGCCGGTGCACAAAATCCGCAGGATTATTGAAAGATCCACGGGATTATTTAAAGCGACTTCGTGGATTTGAATCCACGGATAAATGAAGTCAATCTGGGGTCCTGAAAAGCCGCCTGCATCTTGCCCCGAAAATGAGACGCGGTCCTGAAAAATGACCGCAAGTGGCGAGTGTCGGAGCAGCGCTTAGCGCGGGGAGAATGAGATGCTTTGGGGATTCACTGCATGGAGTGACATGCTTTGGGGACTCACTGCATGGAGTGAGATGCTTTGGGGACTCACTGCATGGAGTGAGATGCTTTTGGGGACTCACTGCATGGAGTGAGATGCTTTGGGGATTCACTGCATGGAGTGAGATGCTTTTGGGGATTCACTGCATGGAGTGAGATGCTTTTGGGGATTCACAATAGACGTTGGGTGTGAAGAGACGAGGGGTGTGGAGTTCTGATGGAATAGTCGGCCTAGGTCGCACAGAAAAAGCAGCGGAAATTAAAGGTAAAAGTATTGTAATCATTCTAAGGAGAAAAGAAGGGAGGGAGTGGAGTGAGTGAGATCAGCAATTTATTTTTCAAAGTTTTGTCTGAAAAATAATAATCAAATAAAATGGGGAAATATACAAAGAATTTATCCAGGAGAATTATGGAGTCAGACGAAAACAATAATAAATAAAAGGACGAAATTTCGTTCGCAAATTTATAATTTTTTTCGATTTATTTAAAATTTCAAAACTATTCAAGTGGTGAACATAGTTTGATTCTCCGGTATCATGATAAATGAAATAAAAATGGCCTTCATGTTTGTAAGCGTACATTTGTCACATCCATTTATAACGTGAACATGAAATTTTACTTAAAATAATTATTGGGAACGATAAGATTTAGCGACAGAAACAAATATTGAATAATCAGCTATTCACTTTAAAGTCAACAAACATGATTACGACCTGAAGCTAGAACGCTGTGAGTAAAACGCAAGAACACCAACGCTGAAACACGAACGCTGCATGGCACAACATGAACGCTGCACGACACAACATGAACGCTGCACGGTACAACATGAACGCTGCGCGGTACAACATGAACGCTGCACGGCACAACATGAACGCTGCATGGTACAACATGAACGCTGCACGACACAACATGAACGCTGCACGGCACAACATGAACGCTGCACGACACAACATGAACGCTGCACGACACAACATGAACGCTGCACGGCACAACATGAACGCTGCACGGTACAGTTTCAGTCGCTGATATAGCGAGAGGAGAGAGTTCATTTCAAGTTAGCCACTTCGCAGCTAACACAGAAAGTTTCAACTCGGATTGAGTTTAAAGTTAGTTCAATACAGCTAAGTTCATTGCTCACACAAATGCTGCGCTCGCAACTCGAGCCAAGAGATCGAGGCTAGCAATACTGGCATCAACGACCTCTGACCTCGCCAACCGTCAATGCGTTTGCCTGATAACTGTGTACAACTTTTACTTGAGAATATTCCAATTCATGTTCATTCATTGATAACAAGACTATTTTCTGAAATAAATATATTACAAAATAATTTTTTTGGCATAATAAATTTTCGGCATAATGCCGAAAATTTATTTCGATGCCTTGCCCTTTAGATGCCAATGAATCGAATGCCAATTTGAATTGAATTGAATGCCTTAGGGTACGCACACAGTGAAAGCAGGTTGCCAGCGAGCTGGTTACCTGCTCAGGCTGGCGCCTGAAACCATAGAATACAGAAGCCTATTCGTACAGGTTTTCACTGTGAACACTTACATTATTATCCTATGTTCATTCTTGTGGCAGGTTGGAGCAGGTTGCCCGCGCGGGCAAACCTGCTTTCACTGTGTGCGTACCCTTAGATGCCAATTTGGACACTAGCAAGTTTAAATCTTTGACACTTCTTGCATAATTCCGATAAAAATGGACGGATGAGATGATCTGCTATTGCAGTCCCTACACGCATAATGAAGCATTGTAAACAGTGTACGCTTGCTGATCGAGAACGCACATTATGTATTAGTTTTTGAAGCAGGCATATAAAATGTATCTAGTATGTCGCATCGAAATACCGCAAAAATAACTTTGGGAGATTTCGTATCATTTCGGAATGTCCAGGGATACGCCAGTTCAATATGGCGCCGTTTGTCAGGGTCCCTGCAGGGTCTATACTTTCAAAAAAGTTTAGAGATCTTAACTTTATCAGCCAATTATTGACGGCCTTTCAAGCAAAATCCACCAATCATAGACAAAAAATAGAGCGTAAATACTTACGTTCACTTAATCATAGACAAGAAAATAGAGCGTAAGTACTTACGTTCACTTAGACAAGAAAATAGAGCGTAAGTACTTACGTTCACTTAGCAAGTTTTGAAAGTATGGTCCAGCTCTCTGGACAGTGCAGAACCCATTGATTGCCATATATGTGATGGGACGCTACGTGAAGTAATTAGAGGAGTTGTTCAATACAAATAACGGTCATGTGCCTACCGGGCGCTCGTATTGCCGAATCTTGACACGAGAGTTCGTTAAAATTTTACCGTTCGGTAATATAGGGACGCAGAGGCACACAGTCTTCCGTGGTTTTGTTATTTACTGATAAATTCAAGAAGAAAATTATGCGCCAAGAAGAATTTTAGAGCATATTCTAGTAGATTTGAATTGAAACCATTAGATGAAGTGTCGGATGAGCAATAAAGAACGGAATCTAAAAATTTTTTAAAAGCGAAAAAATTCAGCATATCTCTATTGACAACGTTTCGGATCCAGCTCCATCCTCAGTTCCGTAGACCCAAAACACAAATACAATCAGAAGTTAATAAAGTTAAAGAAAAAAATAAAGAAGTTAAAAACATAAATTTGCAGGCAAATTAAAGGCAGAGTAATTAAGTAAATACCCATCTATTCACAGAACGGAATCTCGGTAGGTGGTCGGTGTTCGTTTCTATGAGGCGAACTTAACTTATCTTTGTCGGTGCATTTTTCCAGGAAATTTGTTCGCATTGCGAAAATCAATTTTGATTTCAATCATTTAAACGAATTGTGTTACAATTCAGGAAAATAAACTGTACATAAATTCCAAAAGATTTCTTTTCAATCCTCCAGAACCATTTTCTTTGAGGGTAACAAATTAATTTCAAGTTGTGTTAATATTTACATTTGGTAATAAACAATTTGCTGGAGAGCACCTCGAATAACCAAGCTTCTCATCGAAAAACA